TCCCCTTCCCACCACCCTGCTCCTGAAACTGTTCCCGTCCCCATCCCCTTCCCATCCTGCCCCTGTCCCCACCCCCTTCCCATCCTGCTCCTCTTCCCATCCCTTTCCCATCCTGTCCCCATCCCCAACCCCTCCCACTGCTCTGTCCCCGACGCCGTCCCCTCCCCACCTTGTCCCCGGTACTGTCCCCGTCGCCATCCTGTCCCCGCCCCCTCCCCATCCTGCCCCACGGCCCCCGGGCTGACGCTGCCGTGCCCAGGTGGAGGCGGGAGGTTCGGATCAAGAAGGGGAACCATCGCTGGCAGGGCGAGACCTGGTACTACGGCCCGTGCGGGAAGAGGATGAAGCAGTTCCCGGAGGTGATCAAGGTACCGCCCGTGGGGACAGCGGGGTGTGGGGCTGACCCGAGGGGGGCGGTTCTGGTTCACCACAGCCCCCCCCAAAGCCCAGGACTGCGGCTGATGGAGGCTGCGGCCAGCCCGGAGCGCTGAGCCCCCCTCACAGCCTTGCTCCTGCTCCCTGTGCCCAGTACCTGAGCAGGAACATGGTGCAGGATGTCCGGCGTGAGCACTTCAGCTTCAGCCCCCGCATGCCCGTGGGAGATTTCTACGAGGAGCGGGACACGCCTGAGGTGGGTCTGGGGGGCGGCTGGGCCCCCCCTGTGCCCCCCAACCCCTCGCTGTGCCCCGGGGTGACCCCGCCTCGTGCCCCACAGGGCGTGCAGTGGGTGAAGCTGAGCCCCGAGGAGATCCCCGGGCGCATCCAGGCCATCACGGGCAAGCGTGGCCGGCCCCGCAACGCCGAGAAGGCCAAGCCCAAAGAGCCCCCGGCTGCCAAACGGGGCCGGGGCCGCCCGCCCAAGGTCAGGATGGTGGATTTGCTGAGCAAGACGGATGCGCGGCTGCTGAAGAGGCTGGAAGCACAAGGTAGCCCCTTCCCAGCGTCGGTGTGGGGGAGCCGGGGGAGGCCTCACAGCCTGGCCCCGGTGGGATCCTGGCACGATGCTGGCGCCTGGTTCATCTCCTCTCTCCCTCTGTGCCCCCCTAGAGGTGCTCAGCGAGGAGGACAAGTTGAAAATGAGCAAGATCAAGAAGAAAATGAGGCGGAAGGTGCGGGCATGGGGCTCGGGGGCTGCTCAGGTTTGGGCGGGGGTTTCCCTGGTGCAGGGGGTCCCTGAGTGGGTCTTGTCCTCCCCTCAGGCCAAGAACAAGCAGAAGCAGGAGGCCAAAGCCCCCAGGGCCAAGGAGGCCAAGAAAAAATCCAAGGTGAGTCTGTGGGCACGAGTAGGCCGGGGAGAGGGAGGAGGTGAAAAATGAAGATGGATTTTCTCCCTTACTTTTTTTCCCCACATCTGGGCTCTGACCCAGGCCAAAGAGAAGAAGGGGAAGCCCGAGAAGGGCAAGGACAAGGCCCGGCCCAAGGAGAAGAAGGGCAACAAGGGGGCTCGGAAGGCGGACAAAGGGCTGCTGGCCCAGCGGCGCCTGGAGGAGAGGAAGCGGCAGCAGCTCATCCTGGAGGAGATGAAGAAGCCCACGGAGGACATGTGCCTGGGGGACCACCAGGTGGGCTGTGCCAGGGGAGCTCAAAAAGGTCACCCTGGGGAGCTGCCACCCGGTCCTGACCCCCCAACCCTTCTTCTCCCTGATCCACAGCCCCTTCCAGCCTTCTCCCGCATCCCGGGGCTCGTCCTGCCCAGCCGCGCCTTCTCCGACTGCCTGACGGTGGTGGAGTTCCTGCAGAGCTACGGGAAGGTGCTGGGGCTGGAGCCAGCCCGGGACGTGCCCACGCTGGGAGCGCTGCAGGAGGGGCTGCTGGGGGTGGCCCCTGGTGCTGGGCAGCTCCAGGACCTGCTGGTGAGGCTGCTGCAGGCAGCGCTCTGCGACCCCGGCCTGCCGCCCTACTGCCAGGTGAGACCCCCTTCCCTGCCCGGTGAGACCCCCTTGTTAGGTGAGACTCCCCCCACCAGGTCAGACGAGTCCTTCCCTTTCTCCCCTTTCTCCCCTTTCTCCCCTTTCTCCCCTTTCTCCCCTTTCGCCCCTTTCGCCCCTTTCTTCCCTTTCTCCCCTTTCGCCCCTTTCGCCCCTTTCTCCCCTTTCGCCCCTTTTCCCCCTTCACTTATTTTTCCACTTCCCATATTTTTCTCTCTTCCCCTTTTTTTTCTCCCCCTTCCCTTCCCTCTCCTTTTTCCTCTTTCCATTTCTCCCCTCCTTCCATTTTCTCTATCCCTTTTCTTCCCTCCTCTTTCTTCCCACTTTCCTTTTCCTTCCATCCCTTTCCCTTTTGTCCCCTCCTCCCCTTTGCTTTTTTAATCCTCTTTCCACCTTCCCCTTTCTTTTCCCCCTCCCTTCTTCACCCCTTCCTCCTTTCTTTTCCTTCCTTTTTCTTCCCACCTCCTTTATTTTTTTTTTTTTAATTTCTGCTTTCACTTTCCTTCCCTTCCCTTTCCTTTCATTTTCCCTTTCTCCCCTTTTCACCACTTTCTCCCCTTTTGCCCCTCCCCTTGCTGGGGCTGTCAGTGCCTGCAAAACTCAGGACAGGGAATCCTAGATTTGGGTGTCCTTCCCTGTGGCCAGCCCCCTCCTCACCCCACCTCCAGCAGCTTTTGGGGTGTCCCCGTATCTGTCCTTGTGGTGGGAGCACCCAGAACACCCCTGGACCACCTCTGAGCAGGAACCCCCTCCTGGCAAACCCCCATGGGGGCAAGGAGGGGACTCCCCCAAACCTCTCCCTCTGCTCTGCCCAGTCCCTGAAGATCCTGGGGGAGAAAGTGTCGGAGATCAGCCTGAACCGTGACACGGTGTCCGAGGTCCTGCGCTGCTTCCTGACGGCGCACGGCGCGGGCGCGGAGCTGTGCGAGGGGCTGCGCACAAAACCCTTCCAGGCGCTGCCCCCCGAGCGCAAAGCCGCCATCCTGGTCTTCCTGGTCAACGAGCTCAACAGCAGCGCCCTCATCATCAGGTGGGGCTGGGTGGGGGGCACGAAAATCCTCTGATTTCTGGGTGCTGGAGTGGATCCTGCTCCGTTCCTGCAGCCGCCCCCTGCAGCCACCCCCATCCCGTGTTCTGCAGTGAGATCGACAGGACCCTGGAGAACATGTCCAACTACAGGAAGAACAAGTGGATCATCGAGGGCCGACTCCGCAGGTTGGTGGGGAAGGGGCTTCACTTGCAGCCCCTCAGCACCTTCCTCTCTGCCCCTGGCGTGGGGTGGGCAGGGGGACAGGTACCCAACACCTCCATCTGTGTCCTGGCAGGCTGAAGGTGGCCCTGGCCAAGAAAACGGGCCGTCCTGAGTCGGAGTTCACGGGGCTGGAGGACGGCCGGCGCCGGCGCAGCTCCCGCCTCACCGAGGACGTGGGGCTGGAGATGGAGGAGGAGGAGGAGACCCGGGGACGGAAATACCGCCGGGAGGAGGAGGTGGGGTGCTCTGGGCTCTGCTGGGGGGCAAACCTGGGGGTGCCACCTCGGGGGTCTCTTCTCTGACTGATCCATCCCTTCCCCAGGCTGACACGTCTGCGTCCAGCATCCCGGAGCTGGAGCGGCAGATCGAGAAGCTGGCCAAGGTGAGCGGGTGCTGGAGGAATTGGTGTTCGACCTTCTGGGGGTGTGCAGCCCCCTCACCACCCCCCACTCTCCCCACAGAGGCAGATGTTCTTCCGCAAGAAGCTGCTCCATTCCTCCCAGACCCTGCGTGCAGCCTCCCTGGGCCAGGACCGGTTCCGGAGGCGCTACTGGGTCCTGCCCCACCTGGGCGGAATCTTCGTGGAGGGCGCGGAGGGTGAGCGGGGAAGGGGCTTTTTGTGGGGTTGTAGCAGCTGGGAGAGGACCCCACATCTCACCAGCTCTTTCTCGTCCTGTCACAGCAGCTGAACCGGTGGCTCAGGAGCCCCCAGAGGAGAAGGTGTCCCCACACGTGTCCCCGGTGAAGGAGGAGCCGGCGGCCGTGCCCATCGCCAGCCGGACGAGCTGCCCGGCCTCGGCCTCGCGTGCCCGCGGGAGGCCCCGCAAGAGCAAAGAGGAGCTGGCACAGCACTGCGGACCCTGCCCCACCCCGGTCAACGGGGTCCTGGAGGAGCCAGAGACCCTGGGGCAGAGCCAGCACGACCTCAGCCAGTCGGCCTTCCTGTCCTGGCTGAGCCAGACTCAGTCATCTCTGCTCAAGGACTCTGTCCTCACCCCGGCCAGCAGCCCCGGCAAGGGGGACACGGGGCTCCCGCCGCCCGAGGCTCCCTCGGACCCCATGGAGGAGGAAGAGGAGGAGGAGGAGGAGGAGGAGGAGGAGAGAGCCCCGGAGGCTGTGGCAAAGCGGGGGCCTTGGTTCAACCTGCTGCCCCGCACGCCCTGCGATGACCGAGCCCCCCTCGCTACCTCCTCGGCCGAGCCCTCGCCGCGAGCCCCCGCAGCCCCCCGCAGCCAGAGCCGGGGGGAGCCCCCCAAGGGCCCGGCACGGCAGGTACGGGGTGAGGGGGGCTGCACCCAGCACTTGCACCCCGACCCCGGGGGTTGTGTGGGGAGGGGGATTCTCCCTGGGCGGCTGCAGGGAGTGGGGTGGGACCCTCTGTCTGACCCAGGGAGGGGTGGTCGCACAAAGGGCTCAGTCCTGCTGCCCTTGACAGGCTGGAGAGGAGGGAAACAGCTAGAGGGGTGAGGGGCTGCGAGATTGGGGGGCTGTGGGATTGGGGGGGGCTAAAGAATTGGGGGATTGTAGGATTGGGGGCCTGTGGGATTGAGGGGCTGAAGGACTGGGAGGGGGTGTAAGATTCAGGGGCTTCAGTTGTGGTAATCCTTGTGGGTCCCTTCCAAAGCAGAATACTTCATAATTTCCTGCCTGTCTTCTCTGACATTCCCACTGTTCCTGCAGCTGAACGGCCTCCCCACAGACGACCCCACGGCTCCCCTGCTCGCCTCCACGCCGGTGCATGCCGGCCCCAGGGCCCACGGTGCCTGCCCCCGCAGCCAGGGCAGCCTGGAAAAGCTCCAGGACGTGCCAGGACAACCCAAACGCCGAGGGAGACCCCCCACCAAATTCTTCAAGCAGATGGAGCAGAAATACCTGACGCAGCTGACGGAGCAGCCGGTGCCCAGCGGTGAGAGCCGGGACCCCCGGGACCCCCGTGGCGGCAGTGCCAGCGCCCTGGCACGGTGCTGAGCTGTGGCCCTGCCCTTGCAGAGATGCAGAGCGGGTGGTGGTGGCTGCGGGACCCCGAGGAGCTGGAGGCCGTGGCGAGGGCGCTGCACCCGCGGGGCATCCGGGAGAAGGCGCTGCACAAGCACCTCACCAAGCACAAGGAGTTCCTGCGCGAGGTTTGCCTCCGGAGCACCACCGGTGAGTCTGCCTGGGCCACCCTGAGCCCCCAGGCTCGCCTTCTGAGATGGGGGGGCTCCTGCCTGTCCCCCTGTGAGCCCCCAGATCCCATCTTCTGCCCAAATCCCTGGGGTTGCTCCCTGTTCCCTTCCTGAGCCCACCCTTTACTCTCTCAGACCTCACCTTCCAGCCTTGGCCTGGGGCAGGGGCTGCTCCCTGTTCTTTTCCTGAGCCCACCCTTTGTCCTTCCAGCCCTGCCCTGGGGCAGGGGCTGCTTTCTATTCTTTTCCTGAGCCCACCCTTTGTCCTTCCAGCCCTGCCCTGGGGCAGGGGGCCGCTCCCTGTTCTTTTCCTGAGCCCACCCTTTATTCTTCCAGCCCTGCCCTGGGGCAGGGGGCTGCTCCCTGTTGTGTCCCCCCCAAGCTCATCCTCTGGTTCCCCAGGCTGCAGCTTCCAGTTGCTCTCTAGGCTGGGGTGTCATGTGCCACCCCCCCCCAGGACCCACCCTCTACCCCCCAGACCCCACCTTTGACACACACCACCAGGGTAGGGGGCTGCTGCGTGTGAGCCTCCTCTGTGCTCCTCCAGACCCCCATCTTTCCCCCTGTGTCCTGCGATGGGGCTCTGCTCCCTGGCCCCATTTTCTCCCTTCCAGACCCCATCTTTCCTCTGTGTGCTGGGGTGGGGCTCTGCTCTCCATCCCCCCTCCCTGACCCCTATTTTCTCCTTTCTGAACTCCATCTTCCCCCTGTGTCCGGGGATAGAGCTCTGCTCCCTCTACCTCCTCCCTGACCCCATTTTCTCCTCTCCAGACCCCATCTTTCCCCCTGTGTCCTGGGATGGGGCTCTGCCCCTTGTCCCCCCTCCCTGACCCCATTTTCTCCCCTCCAGACCCCATCTTTCCCCCTGTGTCCTGGGATGGGGCTCTGCCCCTTGTCCCCCCTCCCTGACCCCATTTTCTCCCCTCCAGACCCCATCTTCCACCCCGCTGCCGCGGTGTCTCAGGAAGCCCTGGCTCAGTGGTCAGTGCCCGACAGAGCCTACGAGACCGACCTGGGCGTCCTGCGGTGGGTGGAGGAGCTGGAGCAGCGCGTCCTCATGGCCGACCTGCAGATCCGGGTGGGTTCCCAGGCAGGGTCACCCCACTGCCAGGTGACCCCATGACCATGCCCTGACCCCTCTGTCCCCCCCTCAGGGCTGGACGTGCCCCAGCCCGGACTCGACACGGGAGGATCTGCGGTACTGCGAGCACAAGGTGGAGCCTCTGGAGGACATCACGGTGCGGAGCCGGCGGGACGGGGCCCCGCTGCGCCGGGAGCTCACCAACCCCCTGGACCTGGCCGTGCTCCGGCTCGCTGCCCTGGAGCAGAACCTGGAGCGCCGCTACCTGAAGGAGCCGCTGTGGCCTCTGCACGAGGTGGTGGTGGAGAAAGCGGTGCTGAGCGGCCCCGAGGAGCTGAGCCTGGGCCCCACTGAGATGTGAGCACCCCAAACAGCCACCCCGAGGGACCCTCGTCAGCAGCAAAGGAGCCCCATCTTCATGAGGGAATCTTGGGAGGGGAATTGATCCCGCATTCCTAGGAGAGATCCCATCAACTCCTAAGGAACCCCAACCTCAGGATGGGAAGGGATCCCTAAGAAAGTCTCCCACTCCCAGGAGAGACCCCAACAGCCCTGGAGGGACTCCCATTTCCAACAGAAATCTCCTTCCCTAGGATGGGTGCCTGTCCCTGCGAGAAAACCCTAATGGCTATGGGTCAGGAGCCTCCCGGGAATGTGGGGGGCTAGCAGGGTCTGTCCTGGGGGTTTGGGGTCTCTCAGAGGCCACCAGGGGATCTCCTAGGGATGGGATTCCTTCCTGGGGATGAGGGTCCCATGTGGGTCACTGGTGTTCTTCCTGGGATGGGGATCCTTTCCAGGAATGTGGGAGTCTCTCAGATGTCTCTTGAGGATGAGGGTCTTTTCTGGGGGTTCCTCACAGGAATGGGGGCCATCGGGGTTCCTCTTGGGGATGAGAGTCTCTTCTGGGGATCAGGACCCTTTCCTGGGAATGTGGGGAGCCAGCAGGGTTTGTCCTGGGGGTTTAGGGTCTCTCAGAGGCCATCGTGGTCCCTCTTGGGGACCCAAGACTTTCCTGGGAATGAGGATCCCTCCAGGGGTATGGGGCTCCCTCCCAGGGGTATGGGGCTCCCTCAGAGGCCATTGGGGTCTCTTCCTACGGGTGAGGATCTCCCCTGGGCATGGGGGTCTCATGAGGGTCATTGAGATCCTGCTCAGGGCTGAGCAGGGCCAGTGGGGTCTGAGGTCCTTTCTGGGATCACCCAGGTGGGGTGTGGGGGTCTCTCAGAGACCATCATGGTTCTTCTTGGGGATGAGAATCCCTCCCAGGGGTATAGGGCTCCCTCAGAGGCCATTGGGGTCTCTCTGAGGGGTGGAGATCTCCCCTGGGCATGGGGGTCTCATGAGGATTATTGAGGTCCTCCTTGAACAGGGGCTGAACAGAGACCAGGACTCCTCCCAGGGGTCGAGCAGGGCCAGTGGGGTCTGGGATCCTTTCTGGGATCACCCGGGTGGGGCGTGGGGATCTCTCAGAGGCCATTGGGGTCTCTGTGAGGGATGAGGATCTCCTTTGGGGGTGGGGGTCTCATGAGGGTCATCGTGGTCCTGCTCAGGGCTGAGCAGGGACCAGGACTCCTCCCAGAGGTCGAGCAGGACCAGCAGGGTTTGGGATCACCCTGGGGGGGGGTCCCAGGGCAGGACCCCCACCCCAGGCTGAGCCCCGAGCTGTCCCCACAGCTCCTACGAGATCACGCCGCGGGTGCGGACGTGGCGGCAGACGCTGGAGCGCTGCCGCAGCGCGGCCCAGGTGTCCCTGTGCATCTTCCAGCTGGAGAAATCCATCGCCTGGGAGAAATCCGTCAACAGAGTGGTGAGACCCCGCTCCACGGGCCACAGGGGGGTGGTCCAGGGGGCTCCAAGGCAGCTCTGAACACCCCCCACTCCCCCTCCGTGTCCCCCCCAGACCTGCCTGGTGTGCCGGCGAGGGGACGACGACGAGCACCTGCTGCTGTGCGACGGCTGCGACCGCGGCTGCCACCTCTACTGCCACCGGCCCCGCATGACCGAGGTGCCCGAGGGCGACTGGTTCTGCTCCGTCTGCGTGGCCCGGGTAAGGTTGTAGGGCAGCCAGAAGGGATCCCAGACCTTGCTGGGCCCCCTCATCCCCAGGAGAGGTCCTGGGAAAGGAGAAAAGTTCTGGGAAAGGAGAGGTCCTGGGAAAAACCTCTCCCTCCTAGGAGCGGTTTTGTTGGAAAAAAGTCTGGTTCCCAAGAGGGATCCTGATGGCCCCCTTGGGACCCCCATCCCCAGGGGACAGCCCCATTGTTGGGAGGGACCTCTGAGAGTCCCCCATACCCCTGGGAGGGATCCCCTTTCCCAGAAAAGACTCTGATCTCCAGGAGGGACCCTAATGGCCTCTGAGAGACTCTCATATCTCTGGGAGAGACCCCCGTATCAGTGGGAGGGATCCCCATCCCAGGAGGAGCACTGGTGACCCCAGAGGGACTCCCACCCCTAGGAGAGACCCTGGTGGTGTCTGAGAGACCCCCACACCTGGGGGAGACCCTGGTGGTGTCTGAGAGACCCCCACACCTGGGGGAGACCCTGGTGGTGTCTGAGACACCCCCCACCCCTAGGAGAGACCCCCTTACCTTTTTGAGAGGGGTCCTGATCCCCAGAAGAGTCTCTCATCCCCGAGAGACCCCGAGAGCTCTGAGGGACCCGAAATCCCTGGGAAGGACCCCTGGGGGTCACCTCGGGGCTCAGGGAGTGGGAGAACGGGCACAAGGTGTGGCGTGACAGAGTTTGACCCCCACTTTCCCCCCACAGGCAGGACAATACCGGGACCCCATCTCTCCCCGGCGGGGCAAGAAGCGGAAACGGGGCCGCGGGGTCTCGGGGAGCCCCGGCCAGGAGGAGCCGAGCCCGCGGCGCCGCCCGGCCCCGCGCCGCCGGGAGGGGCTGCCCGTGTCCCCCCGGTACTCGGGGGAGGCTCTGGCCCCTCCCCGCCGGAGGAGCTCGGCCCTGCGGGGCCAGCCCAGCGACCTGACCTTCTGCGAGTGAGTGGGGCCGAGGGAACGTGGGGAGGGGGCCGTGGCTGCACCCTCCGGGGGCTCCCCCCTGATCCCCCTCCCCGTTCCCAGGATCATCCTGATGGAGATGGAGTCGCACGAGGACGCGTGGCCCTTCCTGGAGCCCGTGAACCCCCGGCTGGTCCCCGGCTACCGCAAGATCATCAAGAACCCCATGGACTTCGCCACCATGCGCACCAGGCTGCTGCGGGGCGGGTGAGCTGGCCTGGGGGTCCCTCCTGGGTCTGGGGGTCCCTCCAGGGCTGGCAGGGTCTCTCCTGGGGATTGGGGGTCCTTCCTAGGGGTGGGAGTTCCTCCAGGGCTGGCAGGGTCCTTCTTGGGGCTAGGGGTCCCTCCAGGACTGGCAGGGTCCTTCTTGGAGATTGGGGATCCCTTCTGGGGGTGAGGGTCCCTCTAGGGCTGGCAGGGTCTCTCCTGGGGATTGGGGGTCATTCCTAGGGGTGGGAGTTCCTCCAGGGCTGGCAGGGTCCTTCTTGGGGCTAGGGGTCCCTCCAGGACTGGCAGGGTCCTTCTTGGAGATTGGGGATCCCTTCTGGGGGTGAGGGTCCCTCTAGGGCTGGCAGGGTCTCTCCTGGGGATTGGGGGTCCCTCCTGGGAGTGGGGGTCCCTCCCAGGCCAGCAGTGTGCCTTAAAGGTCTCTTGTGGGTTTGGGGGGTCCATCCAGAGTTGGCAAGGGTCCCTCTTGGGGTTGGCGTCCCTGTTGGAGGTGGGGGTTCCTCCAGGGCTGGGAGAGTCCCTCCTAGAGATTGGGGGTCCCTCCCAGGCCAGCAGTGTCCCTCAAAGGGATGACACTTGTCGGTTTGGGGGTTCCTCCAGGGCTGGCAAGGTCTCTCCTGACCATGAGGGTCCCCCAAAGGCCATGGGGGATGGGGTTTCTTTGGTGCTGACAGGGATCCCTCCCAGGTTCGGGGTCTCTCTGGGAGATCAGATCCCTTCCCAACAATGAGGGTCTTGTGGGGCCGTTAGGGTT